TCATCTTAATTTCAATTATATCTACCAAAAAAATCTTAAATCCAACCAAAAAATATCACAATATTTTGAAATTATACAAAATTCACGTCTATGAGAATTTGACATTGTGAACTTAAATTTTAATTTACGTCTTTGAGATTTAAAGATTGTAATTTAAAAAAGGAAGTTTGGAGTTCGAAAGAAGTCAAGAGAATCGAAAATAGAAATGCAAACTTGATAAGAAACAAAAAATGAGATAAAAGTGAGTGGTTGTGGCATTAAATAATTTGGGTTAAAGAAAAATAATTCTTTTTTAACTTTTTCAATTTAATGGATAAAAACAAAATTAAAAGATAGAAGAAAACATCAATATATTAAAACTAAAGAGCTTTGATTAAAAAGGAAGTGACAAAAGAAAAGATGAGAGAGAAAAAGAGAGTTGAAGATTAAAAAGAAAGAGTCATGAGAGGATGGAATTTTGTAAGAAAAATGGAAAAATGAAATATAGATGTTTGTTTTATATAAATAAGTTATCAAATGAAGCAAATAAGATGTGATGGTGCAATGGTTACTACATTGGTCTTCTATTGCAAAAGTCTTGAGTTCGAATTTTGATAGAAGCATTTTGCAAAAAGTAAAAAAAGAAAAAAAAAAAAAAAAGGAAAACTCGAAAACCGGTTCAATCCGGTTCGATACGGTTCACACGGTTCACACGGTTTTTACCGGGTTTGACCGGGTTTCTGGCAAAGTCAACACAAGCATAGAACCGGACCGGTGCAATGGCCGGTTCGCGGTTCAACCGGTCGAACCGGCCGGTCCGATCCGGTTTTCAAAACACTGCTGGAAACATGTGACTTCTCAGGGAATTATGTTCAATTAAGGAAACATGCCCGGCTTGAACATCCGATGCTGGCAAGGAGATCCGACGCTGGCAAGGAGCGTTTGTCTGATTGGAATGATTTGGACGACGAAGCTGTTGAGAATGATTCGATTGATCAAGAAGATCTAGATGATGAAATTGAAGAAGGGCAATTCGAGAGATTGTATCCAGGTGATGATTTCTTCAATCATTTCCATTTTGGGGATGAGAACGATACGATTCTGAAGGAACGTTACTTCATTGAGAATTGCGTTTTCAAGTAATAATTCTTGTTTTAGGAATTGATTGATTTAAGTGATTTCACGTGAGTTGTTACATGTATCAAGATTTGAAAAGTGAGATTCTAGGTTAGGAGATTGAGCCACTGTCGAATTAGACGGATGCATTATGTACCGTATGAGTTTAGAAAAGTCATATATTAATGGCAAAATGATAGGAGACAAAATTTAAATTCTTGACCTCCTACCAACAAAACTTAAGTTATTTATAGTCTCTCTCTTTTGTACATGTTCCAATTTAGTAAACGGGCTGCAGATGGACCTTTATCTGGGTTACTCCAATCACACAGCACGGCGATTCAATCATGATGGATACATGCTACGATAAATTAGCCGGGAGATTCTCCGATCAAGCCCAGTGAGTCCTCAGCTTTAATAATGCAATGTAAGTCGGACCAATTCATAGGTGTCCTGGGCAGCCTGTCGAATAGCTATGCTTGTCCCCAACCCAAACCCAAACCCAAACCCAAAAACTTTTTATTAACATAAGATAGTAATTTTTTTTTTCTTTTTTGCTAAGTCCTTGAATACCAGCTCTATCCAAGTTTTGGCTATGCTTCTAATTAAATTATTCACTTTTGATTTCCCTTTCTACTTTTTGCCTGTTTGGTATGTATAATAGTTTGATTTGTGTAAGTTGTACTTTGTCTCTATTTGGTCAAAGGAATGGGGCAACTAAACTAATGAATCTATGTATGTCAATGCAAAAAATGGGCCAAAAAAAATAAAAGAAAAAGAAAGTGGGTGCCAAAATTTGACTTTGACAATATATGGATGGGTGAAAAAGAAAGAAGATTCCAATCGTTTCCCAAAAAAAAAAAAAGAAAAAGGAAGAAGATTGCTCAGATTTCTCTTTTTTTTTATATCTCTAACTACATAAAGCGTCGAAGGTCTTGCTACAGTGATTTCGCTGGTTATTTTGTAATTTGGCTGTTCGATTTGTCCTTCTTTGTCCTGTGGTCCAATATGTAGCCGTCAACGTCCTCTGCTCTCAATCTGTGCCCGTGAAGGTGTGAAGCTCCAGTTACAAGTTATAAATCAATTGTCCGGCTTTGTTCTATTAAATCACCCGTGCTCCCTGCTTTGTTCGATTAAATTAAGCCCTCTTCATTATTAAATTAAAGCTGCTCACTTGTTCGATTAAATTAAATGCTCGATACAGACTGATAATTAGTTGTATTAAATTAAAACTACTCAATTATTAAATTAAAGCTATTGTGTTTTTAGATTGAGTAGCATGGCATAAATGTGCTTAATACAAAGTGATAATTAGTTGTGTGTCTTATTAAATTAAATCTAATTAGAGCTTTAGTGTATAAGATTGATCTCTCAATTATTCAATTAAAGCTACTCAATTATGAAATTAAAGCTATTGCATTTTCGGATTGAATACCATAACATAAATGTGCTCGATACAAAGTGATAATTAGTTTTGTGACTTATTAAATTAAAGCTAATTAGAACTTTTGTGTATAAGATTGATAATATTTGTTAGCTATTGTTAGCTTTAAGATTGAATATCATAATATAACGTATATGTGCTCAATACAAAATGATACTTAGTTGTCTACCTTATTAAATCCATTAAATTAAACTCTCTCGATTATTAAATTAAAGCTACTCATCAGATCTTACATGGTTCTTCTTTGTTCCTTTCACATTACGTGGCGCAATTCTCCTTTGAGTGTGTCAAATTTTGCCTGACGTGTTGCATGGTTACAAATTACACAGTCAAATTTTGCCTTACGTGTTGCATGGTGACAGATTACACCTTGCAGATTGCACTGGGTCAAATTTCATCTTACGTGCTTACAGCTTACGCATTACAGCTATATTTGGTTCATTCGGTGATTACAGATATGCTTGCTTCGTTTGGTTCTTTTATCATAGTGGACTTGCAATCATTACGTGGATTTAATGCATGCATGTGCTTGCTTTTACCAAAGCACAGGCTCTTTGTATAGTTAAGCACTCTGTGTGCTATATCTACATTAGCTTTTCCACCGTCAGTTTCTTTGCTTTGACTTTCTCTACGTGCATACCAGCAACTATTATAATGTTTTAGAGATGTTTCTCTTTTGTCCTGCGTCTTTCTGTTAAGCCTCCATCTTGTGCCAGCCTTTGGTGATTTTTGTTTCCAGTTTTCTCGTTCTCGCTCGCTTCAATCAGGTGCTGCCTGTTTTTCTTTACTGTATTTCTCCACTTTTGCGCCTAATATAGCTGTTTATTACGTTGTTCCTTCGGTGAACTTTTTGCTGTTTCACTGTGTTTGTTTATTTTTGTTTCGTATGCTTCAGATTATGCTTTTATCATTTTCTCTTCCCCATCATTTCCATTTCTTTGTTGCAAGTTTTTAGTTTGCATGGACTCTGACTTTTCTTATGTTAGCTACTTCCATGTTATATTTATCTTTTCTGTGATCTTATCGGTTTATTCCATGCAGCTCAGCTCAACCATCCTATTCGAAGCTTATTGTTCAGGTAAAGCAATCTCTCCTTTACTTATTTGTTCCTCATCTGCTTAGTGCTTAGCCTGTTCTACTTCGTTGTGTTTTATTTTCTATGTTTGTTATCGTTTTGCTTATTAAATGGTAATCATCTGTTTCATTCACGCTTGTTTTGTCTCCTCCAAGAAACTTTAGATGATTTATGATTGTGATTGTTGGATGTCATGGATAACAGAATTTTCTTAATTTTGGCTACAATTGCATATGGGTCGGAAACGTAAATTTTCCTCAGAAGATGAATATCGTTTAGAAAAAAGCCGTCGTGATCGCGAAAGATATATTAGAAAATTAGTTCGACATAAAAAGGCAGCTCTTTTGGCTATTGAACCCCAGAGTGCAGAAACGCAGGTTTTACCTATGACCACTGCTCCTCAGACAACTGAGCACAATCTTTTTGATGTTCCTGTTCATCATGATTTGCCAGCTAAACATGCAGTCGGCTGTTTCTGTTTGGATTTGCCTGTGTTTTCACTTCCAGATAACACAGATATTCCATCAACTTCAACTGTGTCCAGCATTGATCCATGTAGTATTCTTCCCTTATTGTTATGTGCTCTTTTTTTGTGTCCTTTTTTCCCCTGACCTATAGCAGGCTTGATCATCTTGTTAATATTTTATTCATATAGTTTGTCCAGCTATAAACGATGATTCGGTTTCACAGAGTTTCTTTAATTCAGCTTCATCACATGTTCATGTACACCAATTTCCTCTTCCTCCTCATTCAGGTAGTAGTGATATCGTTCTTTAAATCATCCACTCACTATCAATATGAAATCAGAGAAACATGCTAGCTCACTCAATCACTTAATTTCTCCATAAAATATTCAGCTTGCATTTCAAACTTTCAATTTTCAGCCTCAAACTCATCCATAAACGAAGGATCTAATATAGCAACATCTTCAAACCTTCGACCGGGTATCTTATCAATTTTCAATCTTGCTCCTATATCCTATTTATACTGGTCAATATACTTTTATTTCTTGCATAACCAGATATTGGCCATGCTGTATACTTTTAGGTAATCATCGCCGTCGAACAAATATACCGCTCATAGAGCAGATACAATCAGAGCCAAGTATATTCCCATTTGTTCCAGATTGTATTCACTGCCATGCTAAACGGTATTACATGGAGCTGCCTCGATTCTGCTGTGCTTCTGGAGAGATTAAATTAGCACCAACCAAAATGCCTGATAGATTAGTACAGCTTTATAAAGCAAACACTCCTGAATCAAAAGAATTCAGACAATGTGTTAGGAGTTATAATAACATGTTTGCTTTCACATCTCTGGGGGTTCATTATGATAAAGATCTCAGCAAGAGGAATGATGGTATTTATACTTTTAGGGTGCAAGGACAGATATACCATTTTATGAACTCATTATTTCCTTCTGATGATGACAAGGCATCAAACTTGCAACTGTATTTTTATGATACAGAACATGAGTTAGCAAATAGAATGGCTATCTCAGGCAAATTCAAAGAGTCTATTGTACAACAGCTGAGGTCTATACTTGATGAAAATCCATATTCTGCTTTTATTCGAAGCTTGACAGAAGTTCAGGACCTAGACAGATATCGGATATTTCTAAAGTCTGACAGTATATGCCGCTCTACTTTTTAACAACATTCATCCCACAACAATCAGCAAGTGAAGCACTATCTCAGCAAGTCATACAGAGCACGCCACACACATTGCTAACAAGACCAACATCTCCCCTAAATAATATGCCAGAGGAGACTGTTTCAGACACAAACATCACCGAAGCATCTGCATCTTCAACCCCAACCACTGACAAAACAATCTCGCCACATCCAAAGCTGCTAGAGACCTCATCCTCCATCAAGCGCAATCTTGAGGCAGATTTCTCTGAAAGCACAAAGCATCAAAAACTAAACTAAATAGTTTACATTCCAGTTGGATGTAAAACAAAAAATTGTACTTTTTGTTTACGAATCATAGCAGCTTTCTACAATTTTGTTCTGTACAAATAACAACTAACTTTTGTATTAAGCTGCAATTCCCAATGATCATGTATATATAAAAAACGCATGGTTTTCTACTTTCCTGTTTATAATCCATCTCTTACCCAAACATCTTCTTTACAAAAAAACCATCAGTTAACACTCACCAACAAGATAATATGGGCACCCCGCGACACCTGCGGGGTCCAACACCTAGTATATATTTATTTGGCTATCTAAAAGTGGTTTTAGCTCTTTCATAATTGGCACATCACGAGATTGGACTTTCTTTTCTTCAGCTCCAACTTTGGGGTAGGCAACAAAATTAGAGATCAATTTGTTTCCTGTGAGGACATTTACTGAGTTTCTCACAATCAACTTAACAAGTTGCCATGAATAAGTAAACCATAATAGATGGTAGATGTACTCTTTTCTTTGATACCATAATTGCAGGGATTTTGCAATTCATGTCATGTCAAACCATCAAAGTCTTTGGGAGAAAGCTAATACAAGATTTAACAGCATGCGTGGTTGTGTATGATTATCATTAACAGTCAAAAGAAGATTAATGTTCTATAGTCGAAAATAAAATCTCTGTATTAACAAAAAGTTTACAACAATCCAAAGACACACTGATCATGAGGCCATAATTCAAACAAAAATAAAATGCCAAATTTAGCAATTCTTATGCAAACAATGATTGATACACACCAAAAAAATTCAAAATAAAAATAACATAAAGCTTAAGAAAGCATCTATTAGGAACCAAATGACTCACTTGACGTAGTTTAGGCTGTGGATGTGAAGTTGAAGTTGGAGCATGTGGTTTGAGCGCCCAAAAGCGTAGAGGTGAAGCCCAGTCTTGAAGTTGCCAAATCAAATTGCAAGAGCAAATCTTCCAACTGATAACCACCAATCACAATTGAGGTTCTGGGATTCAATCCGCCGTCAACAAATGCAAGGCACAGAACATTATCATTCACAGAAACCATGGAGTTTGAACCAGTGATGGTCCAAACCACATTTTGACCCTGAAAAATAAGTTCAATGTATGGAACTGATGCACCAAGTCTTGTGCCAAGAACATTCTCTGAGCTGAAACACACCTCAAAGGGTGCTACACCAGCAACTCTACTGATGTTCCTTGCTGCAGCTTCACTAATAAAGGCATTGGTGACTGCTTTAAAGATGGAAGTCTCCAGTACAGTGTAAGGATTGACAGTGCTGATCTTCGTTCCGCCGTAGCCTTGTCTATCAATGGTCAGCAATGTGTTGTTAAATTTCACAGCCTTGTCGCCCACCCTGATAGATTTAACTCCAATGAAGTACTCGTCCGACGGCTCGCCCTGGCTGGAAACTCCAGCAGTGCTCACTGGATTGATGAAAAGCGGGGTGTATTGCAAAAACCCGGCTGCCTCAACATTTGGAAGAAAATTATAAGGGCCATCACCGAAAAAGACAACACCATCAACCGTGTATGAAGTTGATAGGCAAATTGCAAACTTTTTATGGAAACTGAAGGCAGCAGACAACTGGGATGGCAGTCCAATTCTAGCCCGGCCAAGTCCAGCCATGCCAACTGTACCACTGGCAAGTCCTTTCAACAGAAAAGTAGAGCCACATCCGAAAATGAACTGAGGAACCGTGACGGATCGACCTGGATTCGAGCCATCGGTTGATGCTGCGGTGAGAGAATCCTGAGCTACCTCTCCCCCGGTGGCAGTATGAGTGACGGTGTTGTCAGGGAAAACGACGCAGGTGTTAGTGTTGCACCCTGGCTTAGGCCCATTGGTACAATTTCCACACCCATCATTCCCAGCTAGTGAGCACTGGGCACTGCGGCATCTAACCGGGCGGTACGTAGATGATATGTAATTTTTGTCGCAATCAACCCACAAGAATTGGCCTCCAAGATCAAGAACCAGGTTCAGGGAAACTGAGGGTGTTCTTTGGTTGATTTTGGTCACATATTGCAAAGTGGAAGCATCCTTTCGGACCGGAAGAACTAGAGCAGGTGGGCGAAATGAGCTCTGAGCTGAAACACTTGAAGCCAAAAGCAGCAAGAAAATGGATAAATTGACATATGTAGTGTCGGAAAAAGCCATATTGATTTCGGTAGCTGTTGCTACAGTTGTGAAGGATGAATTCGATGGGTTTTACTTGACAAATGTGGAGAAACGGCTCCTCTATTTATACAAAACCTTGGCGGGCTGGTCCGAGACAAGCCACTGTGGAGGCCAATTGTGGATTTGTCCACCTCGGCACCGTCTTGGAGAGCAGGGGAGCCTGGACTCCTAATCCAATGGGTACCAGGACTTCAATCCCAAAATCCTTATCCAAAGGACCAGGGTTCGAATTCTGGGGAGGCCCCCCTCCAAGCACCACCAGGGAGTCCAGGCTCCCCTGCTCCCCAAGACGGTGTCAAGGTGGACAAATCCACAATTGGTTTCCACAACCACCAATCAGGAATGATGATATAAATCCTTTTTTTTTTTAATGAATTAAGCTAGAGAACTTCTTGCATATTCAATTGTTTACACCCGATAAGAAGGATAGATGGGTTTGGAAAATGCCTTTCTATATTTATAAATATAAAACCTTGGGTGGTCCCAATTATCCTATGGTACAAGGCTGCGTGCCATGGACTGGCCCAGGACAAGCCGCCGATTACGAATGACGATATAAATTTGTTTTTCAATGTAGGGAAAATTTCAGAAACGTTGGGAGAGGTTTTGTCAATTTCACTGGGTTTGTTTGGATTGAAATAATTTCAAATAAAATAATTTACTTCACAAATTTCAATCACCTTTTTATGTTTCCAATTATTTTTCCATCTCACAAACATCACGTCATAAAAAATGCTACAATAATTATTTCAAATAAAGCATCCAAATAAACTTCTATCCGTCATCTTCTCTTGAGGTTTTCGAAACAATCACTCACTTCCCTATCAGTCATGTGAGTCTAATGCTTATCTTATCAATGATTAAATGACTTTATTATGCTCACAACTTAGGAAATATTACGTAATTATACGGAGAGAAATAATTAAGCCACTTGTATTGAATTAACCAAAATTTAGAATATAAAAAATTTGACAATGTTGAATACTAAATTTTATAATGATAAATGTTAACATTCTAGAATTCTTTTTCTATATTTTAGTAGATCTTGTAATTTCTTCCCCCTAAAAACTATTACAATTCCTATCGAGATATTACTATTTTATAATTTTTTTCATAAGAATAACAAGATGAACATGGAATACACAAAAAAGAGGATAAAGTGTTAAGATATGGTACAATTATATTTTATTAAGTTAATGGATAAATTGTGACTACACATAATCTATTCTTTTCTTTCTTTTTGAAATATTTGGTGTTTCTTTTCTTATCTTAGTATATATGATCCAAACAGGATGGCTAGAAATGATTTTCTCTACTTTGATTTACTTGTTTTTCAATTAAAATAATTTGCTTTCTATTAATCCAAGCATTGCTTGAGAGTTGTTATCTTTTTCTTACAAATGATGGAAATTTCTTATTAATTATGTGAAATAATGCACCTTATAAGCGAAAGAACTAATTCAAAAAGTGTAACAAATTTTAGCATATTTTATATTTTTATCATTAATTAGCAAACTATTTTGGTATTTTAGTTTGAAGAGGCCATGCTTTGTCTTGCTCAATACTGAGAGTTTGGGAATTCAACGTGTAAATCTTGATTCTAAATTAATAAAACTTCCTCTCCAATTCTTTGATTTTGCTATTTTATATAGTTCTATGGAAAATAGCCATTGTTAATAAATTATATTATACTCATGCTAGTGCTGCAATTTGCTTACTTTCACTAACACTCTCCAACTTTAGGTCTCATTTGGATTGCAACATTTTAGAGTTTTTGTATAAAAATATACTATAGCGATGTGATGTATGTAAAATAAAAAATAATCAAAAAATTTACAAGGAAAATATTTTCACAAAAAATAGCAATCCAAGCATGCTTTAGTCTTTATTTTCTATTTTAAACCAATATTCCCTTTTGATACATACTAAATCAACCAACTAGTAATAAGTTGAGGGGCACTTTTAGTACGAAATATCTTCTCACTCTTGAAATCATTTTTTTTTTATTGTTGATTTTTTTGAATTGGCTAAATTTTTACAAGAAAACTAGTGTTAAGGGAAGTTAGCATATTTTTAAAAGGGTTAATTCCACTTTGTCCCCCCAAACTTTGGACGATAATCCACTTAAATCCCTGAACTTCAAAATGGGACACTTAAGTCCCTAAACTTATAAATACCTCCCACTTAAGGAAAATTGTTAACAAATCCTGAATGCCGTTGGTGGTCAAAGTGTCCCATTTTATAAGGGTTTAGGGATTTAAGTGTCCCATTTTATAAGTTCAGGGACTTAAGTGGGAGGTATTTATACGTTTAAGGACTTAAGTGTCCCATTTTGAAGTTTAGGGATTTAAGTGGATAATCGTCCAAAGTTTGGGGGGACAAAGTGGAATTAACCCTTTTTAAAACTTCAGACATAAACAGTGAAGCCGTCAGAAACATCCCCTTCAATGAATTAAGCTAGAGGACATCTTGCTATCTCAAATGTTTATAGTTCATGGGAGGGATGTATCATCTACGGAGTACATCTGTTTCAACTTTGACGAGATGTGCAATAATAGTTTCCAATTTTTTTCGATTTTTCTTTATATGATTACAGCCAGTGCCCAATAATGAGATGTGCATATTTAGACCAGCTCAACAACATTATTTATTACTATCAACTGACAAATTGGGGGTCAGTCCTGACAAGTAATAAGGCTAAACTGACATATAGTGGGGATGGAGAAGGTCCAATGCGTCTAGTCATGTCCATTTGGTGTAATTTGTATATAATTTGGTGCAATTTTCATTTTTCACTGAGTTGATGCAACCATCATAAGTCACACGAATGCCAAAGTTTATAGGAATTTTTACTAAATCTTGTAAAAAACTGTGTCAACTGAATGGAAAGGGCCAAACTTCAATTAGCCCACTTCTCGATTGCGTGAGACTTGAACCTTTAAAAATTTTGTAGATTAATAACAGTTTCGAATTATGTATCCAATATAACAAATGAATGGTAGTATGGTGCTAGGTAATTGTAGACAACTGAAATCTAGAATTTGTAATTTTCTTAATGCCCAACTCATCACATAGCATGACGGATTAGAACTTCACAAGTTTCAGTTCAAATTAGTTTGGTCCTCAAATGCAAATAGGTAGAGTATGGTGCAAATATATTTAAGTGGAGTATAAATTGATAAGATTATAATGTAAAAAAAAAATATCATTTTATAATCAATTATTCTGAAATGAACTTGTGAGAACCGTAACCCATGCATGCATGACACCATTTTGCAAATTGCAAGTAGATTTGTCTGCGTGGAACTATTTTTTGTCGGTGGCTTTGACATTGAAAGACATTCAAGGCCAGATCAATCAAGTGCGTGGGACGGAAATTGGACAGGGACGGTCCCTAAAGATTGATGGCCATTATTGGACCGAAAAAAAATATATAAGGTTCAGAATATATTTTGTACATCAATTTTAGCATTATATACGAAGCTCATGTAATTTAATTTTATAATTACAACTTGTTAAAGATGAGTTACATTCTGAATAATTCTAATTAAATGAGATTATATCCTTTTTTTACCTATACGATAGATCTACAATTATTCTATGCTACGAGGAGGGGAGGACCTGAAGAGGTAAAAAAAAATCAAAAGAAATTGAACCACCTATCGGTTCAGACGAATGCGCGACACACACGTCAAGTGACTTGCTACATTTTATGACCAACAGTAGAAGGCAGGGTTGAACCCCGACCTCCCATCCCACCAACTTTGGTGGTGAGCTCAGTGGTTGAGATTATATCGTATTGAATTGGATAAAAACCATCGGAGATGATTTTTCTTATGACTGTCTGGGCCCTTGGTCTGCGTGGGACTGCTTCTTGACCTTTTCTAACCGAAGTTAGAGTTACGACTTTTACAAACCTAAACCCCAGAAGAACCTTCAAAAGCCGGCAACTTTTGGAGCCCTCCAGTAAGCGTGGACTGCTTACTAAAGCAAAATCTGATTCATTCTTTGACTTTCTGGTCAAAAGTTATTTCCCTCGGACGCGTTCCCGAGCTTAGAGGTGGCAAAATGGGCGGGATGGGCGGGATTTGCTTGGGTTTGTGATGGAACCGAGTCATATGGGTTTGGGCCCAACCTTACCCATATGTGTTTTGGGACTAACTTGGGCGGGATCACTTTGGGATGGGTTTAGATTGATCCCGCACAATACCCAAATCTATTTTCTACATATTTTTTTTCCTTTAATTCATTTTTATTTTTTATATAATTTTAATATTTTTGATTTATTAAATTTTTTTTAGTTTTATTAAATAAACATGCAAGTGCTTTATACTCAGGATTCCCATAAAAAATTGGATTAACAAATAAAGGAAAAAATAGATATACAGTCATATTCCAACATATATCAAGATGACCAAGGTACTTAAGGTGTTGAATATTTATTCTCATCATTGTCCAAAGATGACAGGTCTAAATTGACTGAAATGTTGAAAATTCTTGTGGATAATGACTAGGAAAACTACTAGATTATATTCTCTAGTATGACTATAAAAATTGTTAAAGATAATTTTTTAATCTAAGACTCCGTTTGGATTGGCTATTTTTTCAAAAAATAAGTTTTTCAAATACAATGTTACAGTAATATACAATAACTCAAAAAACATCCCATCCATATTAATATATCAAATATTTCAAAAAAATTTTATAGTAAAAATTTTTCATATACACTGCTATAATAAAATATTTCAAAAATACCCCCCAAAAATAGCTAAACCAAACAGAGCCCTTGTTATTTGAGCCCAATGGGTACCCAAGTATTTCCCAAGTATTCCCATCAATTAATGGGTACAATTGGGATTTGTCCCATTTTAAACCCAATATCAAAATCCAATACCCATCCCGCCCAAAGTCCCCTTGGGCATGGGTAACCCATTGGGACTTGGGACAAATTGCCACCTCTACCCGAGCTTTTTCATATATCTCTTAAATTTGCTTTTCAGTACTCGAGGAGAATATTCA